GATTATCGTGAGCCTGGAGTTGGAGCGTTGATTTAATTTTAACAGAAGTAGACGATCGTCGTCGTTGGAGCTTCAGTTGCACGTTTGAGGAAAGAGGTACATGCTGGAAGCGACAATCGTTTTGGAGACGAATAAAATATCGAGACTTCGTGGCTAACTACTCGGTGAGACCAATCTGCAGCAACCGTGAGTAGAGTTTTGATTTGTTTTCTTTTATTTTGCTAGCTACAGTAGAGGCATCGAAATGAGTACGCCTGGTATGATTGGGTCGATTGACCAGTACCAACGGCATAAATCTTTTACAAATTATGTGGAGCGATTTGAAATTTTGTGTAAGCTGAATAAAGTGTCGGACGAAACTAAACAGTCCTGGTTTATTTCTGTGAGTGGAGATGAAGTTTTCGAAGAGGTTAAGTTAATTTTTCCAAAAAAAGAAGCAAGCACAATACCGTATGATGAGATGATAAAAAAATTAAAAGCACGTTTAGATAAAGTGGAGCCGGCTTTAATGAATCGCTACGAATTTTACAATCGTTTACAAAAACCTAATGCAGCTGAGAATTTTGTGCTCGCGGTTAAACTTCTTGCAGAAAATTGTAACTTTCGGGAATTTAAGGACGAAGCTATTCGTGATCGTTTAATTATTGGCCTGCGTGATAAAGAATTGAGGAAAAAATTACTTATGGATGATGATGTAAAATTAGAGACGGTGGAAAAAACAATCATCAGCAGTGAAAAGGCAGAAAATAGGGCTGAACACATGGATGATTTTGGTGAGTCAAGCAAGGTTCTATCGGTTAGGCAGCGATTGGGCAGAAGACCCAACGATTATGATCGTAGGAGAGATAGTGAGAGACCTCGCAATCGCAGCTGGAGTCGTGATCGCAGTAGGAGCAATGAACGTAGTAGGAGTTACGATCGTAATAGAAATCGTGATCGTGAGTGGGCTAGGGATTACCGCCAAGATTTTCATGAGAATCGAGTCAAGAACATTCATACTAGTGCAGTGTGTAATTACTGTAAACGTAAGGGACATATCCGCAAAAATTGCTACTTTCTGCAGAACAACAACCGGGAAAATCCGTTAATTTCGTAGAGAAAGAGGAGATAGTAGAAACTTCAGTTACTGATAAATTTAACAGAATTCGTGTTAACGAATCCAGTGAAGAAGATTCTGAAATCAGTTGCATGATGATTGGTCGCATTAACAGAGTATCAGAAGCATGTTTAGTCGATGTTGTGGTTCAGGGCATTAAACTATCTATGGAAGTAGACACTGGTTCAGCAGTAGCGGTTATCAGCGAAATCCAGTACCAGCAAGCTTTTTCTGCGATTCCGGTTTCTAAATGTGACAAAACGCTCGTGGTAGTTAATGGTTAAAAAATCGCTGTAGTTGGAGAAATTTTAGTTGAAGTCGTTTTGAATGGACTTAGCACTGAAAGGAAACTGATTGTTCTAAAAACATCTAGGGATTTTACACCGCTTTTGGGTAGAGATTGGATGAAGGTGTTCTACCCTAACTGGAAGGACCAATTCATACAAACTTCAGTAAACAGTTTGGATATCGCTGGAAATTCGGAACAGGTTTTAAGTACGATAAAGCAAAAATATTATAAGGTGTTCAGTGGCGTCACGTGAGAAAATTCACTAGTTGTGCACCTATTTTATATATATTTTGTCTGTAACAGTAGAAGCCAATTTTGATGCATAATAAAAAAAATGGGATACAAATCTTTCAACGGAAGTACCTGCATCAAAAATAAACGAAATGATGATGGGAAACAGTTCTGCTACAAGTTTTGCTTACTCTTGCATAGAAACATTGATTTTCTTTTTAAGTCTCATGTTTATGATATTTGTCATCGTTACTCACCGTTTCCTAAGCAGTAGCGTAGAGTTGACGCCAATTGCGATTTCCTCGAAATGCTCCACTTGCCGCGCAATTTCCTCGAGCATGACACAACCAACAATTTCCACTTGTCTATTTTCGGCAAAGTTCCGCGTTATGATTTTACTATTTCTTTTACATGTCGTTTTCAAGTTGTCCAACTTTGGTCGAGGGACGTCCATTCTCGCAATAAGCATTTTTTTCCTCCATGGATCATCTGGCAAACGGTCTTTTCAGGAGGTCATCAACAATATCCTGTTCCATGATTCCTATTTAATTTTGCACTATGCTATGAACAATATTCCATCAATGCGCTGAGGCTACTGAATAAAATGCAGACATCGTAGTGAGAAAATTTAAAAATTTAAAAATTCGATGTGTGCGTGTAGGTAGGTATACAACGAATGACGGCTCACCAAGATTCAATCAATTCAGAGAGAAACTCAAATGCGACATTGCCTATACGTGCCAATTTAATCTGTGCAAAGATAGAAGTGCACAAAATAAACACTAACACAGCGGCAATTATGCTTACGGGACTTCAATACATATACAACTGATCTGGTTGTAAATACGAGCGTTTCTGGTGCACAAGCAGAAGTGCTCAGACTGGGAGAAATAAGCATGCGGTGGCTTTGGTAGAACGAAGGCATATTTTTCTTGCTTGTTTTGTGTCGCTCATTCGCCATAGAAGCCCAAAAAGAGTGTTGTCTGCACGTGGTAAAATCCTAGCGTGCCCGTACGTGAAAACAAGATCGGTATGCCTCGCTTCTGTTTTTACGTACTTTTCTTTCAGTGGCGGGTAAAACGGAGGTTGAGCAGCGATGTGGTAAACAATTCAGCTACTATCCAGTGATGTGGTGGATAATTCAGTTACTATCCATATGGAACCAATAAATAGGGCGGACAAAAATGGTTTTAATCGAGTATTAAATTTTTGCCTCTTAACTTTTATGAAATATAAATTTTACTTTTTGAAAATTCGAGACTGTGCAGTGCACGAGGTTTACGCCACTGAAGGTGTTCAATAAAGACTTTACAGAGCCAATTATAGGTTTTGAAGCGGAGCTAACTTTGAAATCAGAACAACCGATTTTCAGAAAAGCGTATCAAGTGCCATTCAAAATTAAGGATAAGTTTATGGAACATTTGAACATGCTGGAGAATCAGGGGGTGATCACTCCCATTCAGGCTAGTGAATGGGCTTCTCCGGTCATAGCTGTAATGAAAAAGGATGGAGAAGTTAGAATGGTAATTGACTGCAAAGTATCGTTAAACAAAATATTGATCCCAAATACTTATCTTCTTCCTCTAGCAGAGGATATTTTTGCTTCTTTGGCGGGTTGTAAAGTTTTCTGCTCTCTCGGCTTAGCTGGTGCATATACACAGTTGAAATTGTATCAACGTTCAAAAAAGTATGTAATCATAAATACAATTAAAGGACTCTACTCTTATAATCGATTGCCCCAAGGCGCTAGTTCTAGTGCAGCTGTCTTCCAGCAAGTGATGGACCAGGTCCTCAAGGACTGAATGGGGTTTGTTGTTACCTTGATGACGTGCTCATAGCTGACAAGACGCTCAAAGAATGCTTGGACAAGTTGGAGAAAGTTCTTGAAAGACTCTCCAATGCAAATATTCATGTTAATTTAAAAAAATGTAAATTTTTCGTTACCTCTCTACAATATCTGGGACATTTGATTACAGGTGACGGATTGTTGCCTTCACCAGACAAAATCTCAACTATTGAAAAAGCAAAATCTCCTGACAATGTAACAGAGTTAAAAGCGTATCTCGGTTTAATCAACTATTACAACAAATTTGTGCCAAATGCTTCCAGGAAGCTAAAATGTTTGTACAACCTTTTGAGGAAAGATGTTCCCTTTGATTGCACCAATGAATGTGACAAGGCTTTCAGAGAGAGTAAAGAAAACCTCTTGAAGGCCAACCTTCTCGCTTTCTATGATCCAAAAAAACCTTTAATAGGGTAGAGCGCTACTTCGTCGTAATCGCCCATTTCCGTTCTATCGATCAGAAAAGATCAATAATATCAGTGATTTCACCATGCACAAATCAATAAAAGGTTTGTTCCGATGCATTAGTTCATTAGCTACAACATAAATCCTGTAAGAGCGCATTGTATGAATGTTTACGCTCATTGTTCTCAAAACAAAAGAAGCGCTCCTAGCGAATCCCCTTTTTCTACGTTTATCCGTAGGACGTAGAAAATCTAATGGCGTTTCAATGCGTTAGGACGGAATTGAAACTCGTAGAACGAATTTAGAATCAAGAAGCGGTATTAGAAAGGTTCATGAGATGCTATCCTTGGGAGTTTACGGGAATTATATTTTTCATAAAATTCTTCTCTGATCATATTTTGAATTAAGTTTTTTTTAGATATTGCGGGCCTTTTATGTGTAGAGCGACAGTATATTGGATGTGAAAAAGTGACTTAAGTGACTATTTTTAGGAAGACTTAAAAGTGACCTGCTACCAGCTCCGAGATAAAGGATTGTCTATGCAACTTTTATCGAAGTTTATAGCTTCTGTTCGAAGGTTTGTTCTCCTATATGATGATAAATTCCCTCGATTTGAATGGTAAGTTCCAACTTCTTCATCAATCCCGGAGAACTAAGATAGGGTGGAAAAGAATGTGATATCCACCAACGGGGTAGTGGCAAAAGACGTCGGCCTTTTAATTTTTGCACGTTTTTTTTTTAATCCTCCGGTACCCCTTCATAGGGACCATCTTTATTATTTCACTGATTTTTTTTTTGTTTTCAGATTTTACTCTCAGTACGATACAGTATAATTCTAAATGTTATATGCATTTGTTTTCCAGTGTTTTTTTTTTAAGAAATAACATACACGATCGATTCCATGTCCTCTTTTTTTCCTTCCTCTCCTTTCTCTCGCTACAGCTTATGATTTCACCTTCGCTTCAACACACTGGATAGGGGGGCGAGGGAGAGGTTTCAGGTGGCTATCCAAGAGACATACTAATAGCTAGGACCGTAGTATTGGAACCAAGACAAACATCTCATTTTGTCCTGGGTATTTTTCCTCCGCTTTATCAAACAAAGTAGTAATAAGTTCAGGTAGCATTTTTTATCCATGTATGTATGTATTATCAAATTCAACGACCTCTCAGTCCATACGATTCCAAATATCCAAACAAAGTGTAATTCAGCGTTCTAGAAGGACCACCGCTTGTGTCAAATCAACTTGGAACACCCACGCGCGCCAATATTCAAAGCAGTGTGAGAAAAATGCAACTTGCAGGATTGCTTTGTCTACATACTGATCTAACACCCAGAAATACAAAAACAGAGGACTCGACGGAACTTGGTTCCGTATTTACGATCTAAAGGTTAAAAGTTGTTCATGTACCGAATGTTAAGAACACAATTACTTTACACTTGATCTGATTTCGTTCTAGCAAAAATAAAAACCGAAATGAAAAGAAAAAAAAAAATTGCGAACAGACAAATATGTTGGTGTCTAAAATGCCCTAAAATTGTGTTAAGTGTGAATTCCGCCTACTGGGGGTTTTCAGCCTACTTTCAATCTAAATGGCCTACTTTGATGGGAAATTTAGTTTTCCACCTTTTTTTTTTAGTGATTACATTTATATTCCAAATTAGCTGGTGTAAAACAAATATCGAGTGAATTGAGTTCATCTTCGATTTAATGGTTAATTTTCTTTTGTTATATGTTTTTGAATATTTGTGTTTGCATATTATAAGTTTGTTTTGTATGTTGTAAATGTAAGCTTAATTTTCTAATAAATTTACCTTGTTGTGTTTGCTTGAGAATCTGCTACCGTTTTTCTTCTTCTTATTCTCGCTTCCACTTTTTCCCAATCGTTTCTTCTCCTGCAAATGCTTTGGCTGTTCCTGTTCCTTGAATAATTCTTCCTTTCTTCTTTCTGCCTTTTCCGTGTTGGTGGTAGTAGCAATAGTAGCAAATATGATCGGTAAATCGGTCAGTTGTCTCGACTTTAAGAAAGAAAAAAAGTGACGATGTGGCCTTAACTGCTAGACAAAAAAAAAAACAAAAAAAAGAGTGCATCTGCATCGGAGAACTTTTCCGCTTATCTTCCGTTAGCTTCCAAAGTTGGTCTCGACGTGGACGCCCTCTCCTTCTCGACAGGTAGATAGTTTGAGTTGTTTAAATCTCACTCGGTCTCTTGATCAAAATACAATAGTGTGTAGGATGCTTGGTTGAAAGTCCTTAGAAAGATGCATGTGTGTGTGTGTAGATTACTATAATTAGATTTTAGGTTGATTTCGTCTGGGAAAACTTGCAATTCTAGCGGTCGTCGAGCGGACGACGGCCCTTTGTGAAAATGGTTTTAGGTGTATCGTTTCTCTTCTCTGTTTGGCGGCAATGTTAGCATTTTTCATCATTTGTAGTTTAGAGGTGTCGGCTCCAATATACTTTTTTTTTCCATACGTGTAAACAAAATAGATTGCTGCCTTGTGTTTCAACAAAAGAGGACGCGCTGGCGCGCGTTTGTCCATTCACCATTTACGCGCGCTCGCACCTCCATGCAAATGCAGCGTTGTTGTTTATGTTGATGTTACTTTTACTGCTCCTTCTCCGGCTGAACTCGTCTCTTAGAAATCACGGGCAAGCAAGTTGACCGGCTTGACGCGGCCACCGTCACCCTCGGAGACGAACCGCTTGCGGCCTCTGGAATGGACAAGAACGAAGGAGAATGGTGGTTAAATAGAGTCGATGTAAATCACATTTTATACAATAATCATAATGGTTGGTCTCTCATCAAGACCGCAGGGATCGATGGAACACGCCAAGTGGTTTTTGTTCACCCCTATTCTGTATTTCGTTCGAAACGTAATACAGAATAGGGGTGGTTGTCTTTACAGCCCAAGTAACAATTTCGGTTTTATGAGGGTTCTGAAGATCATGATTTAGACTTGTCGAATGCTATAAAACCGCGATAAAACCTGCAATGTTACTTGGGAGTCCCCGCATGATCGGATTGGAAATTTCCCAATATGCAGCCATTCCATAGCAAAACGATACCCGAGCAAAGTCGGATATCAAAATACTATCAAAATGATATGTTGATAACATATTTTGATATGTTAATTTTTAATTTCGGTTGAATTCATATTTTGATATTTCTAAAAAATATATTTAAAAACAAAGTTTGATAGGTATTTTATGAAAAGAGCATCACTGATTTTTTTGTTACGGGTCAATCAGGATGCTTGCTGTTTTCTTTATGAAGATCACAAAGACAATTACGATTTTTACAGTTACATATATCGATCGAACTGATTGAAATATAGATTTGTTTTGACGTAGTACTACGTCTGTGATTTCTATATGGGGGTACACTTTGTGAAAACCGAAAATGGAACATGTAACAAAATTATGAAAGATTTTGAACGTTAATAACTCAGCTGCCCCTGGACCAATTTCAATAATTCTATCACCAATCGATCAGAAATATTTCCACGCATCTGTTCAATTTAATACTTTATCATATATCAAAATGTTACTATTGAAAAATGCAGAAAGTGCAACTGTTGCTATAATAGTTAAAATTATCACCGATTGCCTGCGAAAAGCGATTTCCCTAACACAGATTTCAAAGTTGAATTCGAAAAGCTCTCCACAAGCAGCTACCTATCAAGGATGCCCTCAATCGCTGATCGGATTCAGTTCCAATCACCGTGTGTGGTGGTGTCCGGTCGTCGGCATTAGCAGCAGTAGCAGTGGCGTTGAACATTGTTCTCCAGTACACAACGAAAGGTTGCCTGCAAGCAGCGAGCTACAGCCCACATGAGCATCCATAGAAGGAGTAAGAAGCCGCATCGCTATTGATCGGAATCAGTAGCTCTTCGTGAGTCGCTGTGGGTCGTCTATGTCAAGCGCGTCATACTAAAGAGTATAAACAGAGAGAACCTTGCTCAAATTCTTTTCCTACACTGATGTAAATAGACTTAAGAATTTCATAAGGCTCGACTTATGAACAACACATCTGAATTTCATAAGTGTGACTTATGAATGATTTTCGGGTAACATGAGGTAGCTCTTATACGGCTTTAACAATTGCATTTTCCCAAGCGTCGAAAGACGAGTGACCATTAGAGATAATCATAAATTTGTTCAGCAGAATTGCTCTACAATACGTCCACCTTGTGCAAAAAATATGAAGTGAGATTTACACTAACATGTCGATGATCTAGATCTCCAAAATCTCATGGAATCAAGAATTTATATAAAAACAAAGAGTCCCACTGCAAAACATGAGCCTAAATGTTGTTTTGCTATGTCGGAAAAAGCATATATCAATACAAGAGACCTAAGCAGGAGGAACGCAGTATCAAAAGTTCTTCAAACCTTGTCAAAGATTGTCGACAAGATGTTAAGTTATGGCAAACAATTCAAAATTAATGTCACACTAGCGCTGCCTGGTGAGTGAATTTTGAACTCAATTATTTTCCTTAGGATAGGTCTTATCGATTTGAACAACTTTGCTGAAAACGGGAACCCTCCATATGAGCAGGATCTGTAGACAGCGTTATATAATGTGCACAACTGATCATTTTGGTTTTAGCGTCAGCTGTCAGCTAGTAAATCAATTCTGTTGAAGACCTTGTATCCCTGAACATCTTTGCAGAAGGAAGCAACATCCTATTTGGTTGGGATCTTGTGATATAAACATGTCTTACATCAAAGTATGCCACTTCATGGGCATTTTTTTGGGGTCAAATTGACCCCAGGGTACAGACAACGTAAGTTTTTTTTACACAAACGAAGGGCTATCACCCATTCGACGGAGGTCCCTTTGATAGCGGATAGCTGCTTTTCTCATTTTCATCAAAAATGTTCAATTGATTTTGAGAATTTACAGCACTGAGTGAGATGCACGCGTAAAGAAGATTTGTGAAGATTTTAAAGATTTCCTGAAAAAAGGATGGAGCAAGGTGAGATTAGATGGATTTGGAGGCAAGAAAAGGCAGAGGACTTTCTAAATGGAGATTTCCAAGAGATTTCCGAGGAATATTCCAAGCGAATTCTAACGAAAATTATGAAGAGATGCCTATTAAACAAATTCTGGCGAGAATTATGAAGAGTGAATTTCAAGAGATTTCTGCAAGAAGTTCCAGAAGTATTCTGCACATAAATCCGATATTGTTATGGAGAATTAGTTTTAGGGAATATCGGCCAGAGCTTGAGCTTGATTGACCGCCCACGGTTGCTACTCTGTTACTGCCAGATCAGCTGTAATTACACAGAGAACCAATAGACGATGCTTGGGACTAGCAATCATCCTCAATGTGTAAAAACTGGTGATCTTAAATTAGGCAATACCAGCGCCGGCCGCGCCCGAACACAGGTCAAGAAAGAAATGGGAATGATTGTGTTGACATGACACTCGCTTTGATGGAAGCCGAGAACACCTCTGCACTTCCACGAGGAATCACTGGGATGTTGGATAAGAGGGTTGGGTTTGCAGCAGGGTTCGTTTTGGTAAACGATAAGCTGAATTGATGTCCTAACGATCATATAACGCGAAGGAGCTTGGGACTAAACCCACGGTCTTCTGCTCAGTAAGCAAAAACGTTTGCCACTAGGCAGACAAGCACCTTTTTAATCACCGAGTTGCTGTTATTACCATGTAGTCATATTAACAAATACAACGATTGACGGATATTGAATGTGGATGGGCCTGAGATTAGACTCATGATGTTCTGCTCAGTAAGCAAAAACGGTTGCTCTAAGGCCACCGAGCCCCTCATATCATATAATACCGTTGCTCAAATTTGTGTATCCATTCAAACCCGGAACCAACGCCAACAACGAGTTTCGCAAAATACACGATACACAAGCGATTTTACCATAAATCTCTTTGATATGCAAGGACCTGGGACCGCGTTTTTCTGCTCAGTAAGCAGGCCACTGTAACCGACGATCTTTCAAATCCGAAAACTAAAAACTACGAAAAGTACTTAGGCCTTCATTAAGTTACACTTTCACGCGACGTTCAATGACAGGGTCCTATCCAGGATTACATCTGAAAAATCCAAATCTGGCCAACGCCCACCCTGAAATGACTAACGAATGGAAGACTTTGACTACCCAGCCATGCAATAGTCTCATTCCGTGCCTTATGGCAACTTGATAATTCTATTGCGCTCATATTTTGGCACCACCCAGGGGAGACTTGGTCCTGTACCCAATGCTTAACTTATCTCCATTCCACTCAGCTACTCGCAATTTCTTGTGATATAGTCGGCGAGTTACCACGATAGTTGCTATTCAACAACTCGACAACGTCCCATCGTCAACGCCTGCTATGAGAATTTACCATTGCAGACGCCAACGAAATTACGTCATCGAGCTATCGATCAACTACCCTGGTTATCGCCTGGTACCTTATAGCACGATGCTAGGAGGCGAACCGGAAGAATCGATGAGCTACCTCTCCCCCACACTAGTTTTAGGGAATATCGGCCAGAACCATAAAAGTAATTCTGAATTCTGAGAAATCAGGGATATATTTGCAAATACATTCAGGGATGGATTCCTAAGAAACAATTTAGTAAATTCAAATATTGAAAATTTTGCAAGATTCCTTGCACAGAAATTAATGATCAAGGCATTAAGGGTTAACAATTCTTAAGATTCTGAGACGTCGATTGAAAACACATTTCAAGACCGTGGTCTAAGAAAACTGTTTAAATTATGGAGCTAGAAAATTCATAAAAGTTTAACAGTAAGATATTTGGGACGGGCATTCAATATCCCAGAAATGGGAAAATTTCTAAAAAAATAGTAGCATTAAAAGTTTACAAGACTATGTGACATTGCTAATTATTTTTCAGATCTCAGACTTAGGAAAAGTAAATCATTTCGGCCTTGAAGAAATCTTCAAGATTTTAAGAGAAATATTCAAGATATCAGATTTAGAATGTTTGTTAACAGAACTCGATTAATACAAGGTGACTGGTAGCTCTTGGTTCTCCCTAAAAAGGGTGATAGAGGACCTCAAACCAAGCACTTTGCCTCAATTCTTGCTTATAACAGAGATATTCTGATTTTAATGTTTGTGATCACGCTAAATTTGAACAACTCTAAAATCAGCTAGAAGCATACGCTATCCACTGAGCAGCTCACAACTGTCACCTAAATCGGTGAAACATTGTTTTTAAATCGATGGTGTCTTAAAAACCCACATTTTCAAAGTATTGTTAAGCATAACTTTGGCATAAGATTGAAAAACATAAAATAATTTCCCGAGTTCTAAGAAAATTCTATCACAGTGGACCACATTATTTTAATTGATTTCTTTGCCAGTTAGTCGTCTGTCACTTCGTTTGTGGTATTATACCCCTTATTCATGGGAATCGCGAAAAACTTCTTGAGTTCATGCCCTTATAACTTGGCGGGGGTAGCAGATAGCAAAAAAGCTTACTTAGTAGAAATTTTTATGTTTTGCAATCTTATGTTGAAGTTATAATTTAAAATATTAAAAAATGTGGGAGATCGAATGCAACACTAGATGCTAACGACACCACCAAATGGGAGGAGCTTCGCCCAGGTACTGTAAGGACGAAAGCAACAATTAAGGGCATATCAGCTGAAGTTCCTCCTCTTTTTACGGTTTTGTCGTTTGTTAATCGGACATGAGAAAATAATAACTTTTCGAAATCTGG